GCCGCCCCCAGCCCTCGGGAGCTTGTCCGGGGACCCACAATAAACAGTTCCCCTGAAACTGCCCCAGCGATCTCCCATGTGACGCACCCAGGCGCGGCCCCGTGCCCGGGACCCCTGTGCCCCATCTCAGGGCTGTACCCGGTCAGACCTGACTGCTGTGCTGCGTCTGTGTGAGGGATCGGGCTGTGTCCCCCATCCATCCCGTGCCCACTCCCTCGCTGAGCCCGTCTTCTCATCTCTCTCAATTCCAGTGTCCCCTCCATCAACCTGAGCGGCTGCAGGTACGAAAGCGGTAAGTCTGAGGGGCTGCAGGGTCCCTGTGGGGTCCCTGAGGGGCCCAGCCCACCCCTGCAGGCTCTGTGGGTGCCTGTGCAGCCAGGAGCACTGTTGGCATCCAGTTCTCACTGTTTTATTTACTGGTGCCCAGTGACTGGGCCCCTGTGGTAGTGGGGAGTTTGTCACACGTTGGACTGAGGTTTCCCGTGGTTTAAAATGTGTAACAGCAGCATAAGCCCTCAACATCCCCCCACACCTGTGTTTGCCAGGTGTCTGCTAAAGTGGGCAAGAAGGGTTCAGTCAGGTACAGTGCAAGGGGGTACCTGGGCTCGGGAACAGGACCTAAGGGCTCTCAACTGTTTCAGGTAAAGCTGGTGGTGGAACAGTCAGGATCCATACCTTGAACCTCCCCCTGTGCCATCCATCCCCAGTGACTCCAAGGAGCTGGTTCCCCTCCCCTGTCCCGCTTTTCTTTCCTGCCACAAGCTGGATCTTAAAAGAACTAACTCCTGGCCCTTGGGGGGTGTTATTAAGCCACTTCGCTAAGNTCTTAAAAGAACTAACTCCTGGCCCTTGGGGGGTGTTATTAAGCCACTTCGCTAAGGTGTCTTGGTGTGCACAGACCTCCATCACCTCCCCAGCCCTGCGAGGGCCAAATTCAGACTTGGCACTAACATGAACCATCCCAACAGAGACCCTTTGCCCCAGAGCTGTCTTCTGCTGCCAAAAGACCTTGGATTTGGAGATTAAAGTCACACTTTCCTAAGACTTGTACCTGCCTGTGAAGTATCAAACCCGTGGCAGGTTCAGCTCTGCTGTCAAGTGGCCCTGGCATCCCAAGGCAGGTGGAATTAGAGGGCTGAGAGCACCCAGAACATCTTCAGCCAGAGGCTGGGGGGTAGGCCAGGTAAAGCTGGTGTTCCTGACACCTCCCAAAGGGTCCCGCCAATACCTTGTACTTCTGAGAGAAGTGCAGCCCGGAGAGGTTTGTTCCACGTCCTGTCCCTGGTTATTTTGGGGGTTTGTCAGTCACTGTGGCTCCCCTGCCTGCCCCTGTCACCGCTTGCCTTGGCACAGTGCGGCGGGCGGCGCAGCACTGCGGGCTGAAGGAAGCGGGAGAGAACGAGGAGTGGACAGTGTGCTGGACAGACAGCTCGGTGTCTCTGGAGCGCCTCATGGAAATGAAGCGGTTCCAGGTAAACAAATGGGCTGTCCAGCAGGAATCACTCAGGGAGGAGGGTAACACGGGGACTGTTGATGGAATAGCATATGGCAGAGTGGAACAGAGGCATCCAAAGCAGTGCCTGTTACTCATCTGTGCCTCGGCTCCGCACCTTTCCTTGTGCCATGTCTGTGGTCGGTGCCTCAGGAGAACTCAGCAGCTGCAGTAGGAGTGGGAACACTGCCAGCCCTGTACCGTGCTGTGAAATAAACGGGCTGGGATGACAAATGGTTTCTGTGGTGCTCTGGGCAGGGAGAGCTCCAGGGCTGAGATGGAGCAGATAAATCACTGGTGACGCTCAGATAGAGCAGCTGTAGTGCAGTCTTGCCCCTCAGCAGCAGTTCAAGGCCGCTGCAGGCCCAGCCTCCTGCCTGCTCTGCTGCCGGTTCTCCGCAGGGCGGGGAGGATGCATCCGTGCGGGGCCTCTGCTGACCTGGCTTTTTCTGCCCCTCTTTCAGAAAATCAACCACTTCCCAGGCATGATTGAGCTCTGCCGTAAGGACCTGCTGGCTCGCAACCTGAACCGCATGCTCCGGCTCTTCCCCGAGGAGTACAACATCTTCCCCCGCACGTGGTGCCTGCCAGCCGAGTGAGTAGTGTGGGACAGCGCCACGGGGACGGGCTCACACTGGCAGGGGTAGCCTGCTCGCCTGCTCCCTCTGGGCACCAGAGCCCAAATCTTACTGGCTCCGGCATGTTATCGTGGTGACCTCTGCCACGGACCTCCTGGTACAGGTGCAGATGTGTACAAGGAAAAGGTGGGACTGGGAGAGCTGAGTCAGGTCACACAGGGACCAATCTGTGACTCTTGTAGATCAGGAATGGAGGTTCTATATCTCCCCTGAGGACATTTGATTTGTACTGGCCCACAGTGCCATGGTTTCAGTACCCACCGGTTAGAGTTCAGAGGGTGTTTTTTGCAGCTGGTGACCATCACCCCTTCCTTGCACAGCTATGGAGATTTCCATGCCTACAGATCCATGAGGAAAACCAGAACATTCATCTGCAAGCCCGACAACAGCTGCCAGGGAAAAGGGATCTTCATAACCCACCACCCGGAGGAGATCAAGCACGGGGAGCGCATGATCTGTCAGCAGTACATCTCTGAGGTACCGGGAGAGTCCTGGAACACCAGGAGAGGATTCCAGCCTCCTCGTTCTGCCAGAATCCCACATCCTTCCCATGTCTCCCCGGGTCTGCTGGGGGTGGCTGTGGCACAGCAGGGGCATGGCCAGAGCTCTCCCCTCTCCTCTGCTGCCAAAGAGCAGCACAGGCAGATGGGGCAGTTCCTGATCTCACCCTTGCTCCTGACTTTCCTCACAGCCCTTCCTCATTGATGGCTTCAAGTTTGACATGCGCATCTATGTGCTGGTCACATCCTGTGACCCGCTGAGGGTTTTTCTCTACAAGGAGGGCCTGGCCCGGTTTGCCACCATGAGGTACATCGATCGCAGCAGCAGAAACCTGGTAAAAAAAAAGGATGTTTCAAAAAACCTCACATAGTATCTGTAGGTGTCAATCCCTAACTTGTCCTAGGGGCATTCCAGGCCTCGAAAAGGCTGGGGGCTGCAGGGATCCCAGCTTGCTGCTTTCCTGTTCTCCCTCTGTACCCCTTCCTTGTTCTCCTCACAGGAGGTATTTCAGGAGGGTCTGAAATAGATCTGCCCCCAGATCTAGCCTCACATTTGGGCTGTTTACTGACATTACCACAAAATCATAGAGTTGTTTTGCATTGAAGGAATACTGGAAGGTCTCCAACCTCATGTTCAAAACTGGGTCAACAATAAACTCAGATCTCGTTTCTCGGGGTCTCACCCTAGCAGGTGTTGAAAACCTGCAGGCCAGAGCCCCCCTGGTGCCTCTGGCCATCACCTACTGCTCCTGGCCCTGAGGAGCGTGCTCCATTCCACACCATTCCTGCTCTGCCCATGCATCAGGCGGAAAAGAAGGACCTGGGATTGTCTGGTGGGGCTGTTTCTGTTCTCGCTGCGTGGTTCAGAGTGAATGAATGTCTCTCCTGGTTTCCTGCTAGGGTGACATCTGCATGCATCTGACCAATTATGCAATCAACAAGCACAATGAGAACTTCGTCCAGGATGACACAATGGGCAGCAAGAGGTACTGGCACATCCAGGCACCACAGGAATGCTGTGGGACTCTGGTTTACCTCATCTTCCCTGGGGTGGCACAGCTCAGCCCTTACCACCTCCTGTCCCCATGCAGGAAGCTGTCCACCCTGAACACCTGGATGGCAGAGCACAGCTACGACACAACAAAGCTCTGGGCAGATATTGATGACATTGTCATAAAGACACTGATTTCGGCTCACCCTGTGGTGAAGCACCACTACCAGAGCTGCTTCCCCAACCACGCTGCCGGCTGCGCCTGCTTCGAGATCCTGGGCTTTGACATTTTGCTGGACAGAAGGCTGAAGCCCTGGCTGCTGGAGGTGAGGGAGGAGCAGACAACTAAAACCTGGGAGAGGCCTCAGGACAGGGGGGTTGGGATGAACAGGACTCGTTTGATTCAAAAGGGCCACCTCACTCACAGAATTAACCAGGCTGTGAAGCCAAGCACCCTGCTGTGAGTGGGATCCAAGACAACCAGTTTTCTGCACACCCTCTAACAGCAGGGAATTTCCCAAACCTTAGGACCCCTTTTCCTGTAAGAGCACCCTGAGTTTGTGACAGCTGCCCTCTACTTGCAGCCTGTGGGATGGGATCTGGGTGACCTGTGGCACAGTAGGCACCACACTGCAGGGACAGAGTGCTGTGTGTGGCCTCCTGCTTCCTGTCACTGACATAGAGAAGAGCATCCATGGATAGTGTGGGGGGCGGCCGGGGCCATGGGCTGGGAGCTGGGGTACCAGGTTAGGTTACTTGCTTGTCTTGGCAGGTGAACCACTCTCCCAGCTTCTGCACAGACTCTCAGCTAGACCGTGAGGTGAAGGATGCCCTTCTGTGTGACACCTTCAACCTGATCAATGTGCACGCCTGTGACAGAAGGAAGGTGCTGGAGGAAGACAAGCGGCGGGTAAAGGAGCGGCTCCTTCAGGCCAACCAGACCCAGACTCTCCGTGAGTCCAGGTATTGCTGTTTCCCTCAGTGCTGCACGTCTCCAGTGAGGAGAGACAGGGCATGGCAGAGCAGGATAATGCCAGGGCTGGCAGATGAAGCTCCCAGACCCCATGGCACTGTGCAGCCTCTGAGCTCTCCCAAGCCATCTGCATCCTGGAAGGAAGAGCTAAGGGCTCCTCTCTGGGTGCCAAGAGATTTGTGACACCTAGTGCTCTGTGCCCCAACAGAGACATCCCCATTGATCAGCACCTGCTTGTCACATGCCTCGGTGCAGACAGGCAGGACCAGTGTCCCTGGGCTGGCAGGGATGCTTACAGGAGGGACCACAGCCCTGCCTCAGGGACCAGGAGCAGCTGAGGGCATGGACCCTTCTCCAGAGCAGGATTCCTTTCCAGGGTTGAGGGTTTCCCCCTCCTCTGTCTGCATGCCCTTTCACAAGGCCAGTGTTTAGAGAGCCTGCTGCCTTGCAGGCAAAGCGGGGACTCTCTCCAGCTGCTGTTTCCATATGGAAACACCAAGCATGTCAGCCCTGTGCTCTGCCTGCCCCGGAGCTCCCTGTCGCAGCTCCCTGTCGCAGCTCCCTGTCCTCCCTCCGGCTGCAGGCGCAGGGAGCAGGAGAGCAGCCAGGCTGCCTGGCTGGCACAGGCCGAGACCTACGAGAACGAGCACCTGGGCGGCTTCCGGCGCATCTACCCAGCACCTGGCACAGAGAAATACGAGCCCTTCTTCCACCAGGGCAGGTCCCTCTTCCAGGAAACGGCAGCCTCCAAGGCACGAGAGGAGCATGCCAGGTACACTGCTCCTGTGGAAACCCTCTCCTCACGAGGGGTATGGACACCACTCGCTCCTGAGCCCTCCTGGGGAGCCACTCTGCTGCTTGGCAGGTGTAAGCAAGTGGGGAGAGCAGGAGGGGAAGGGAAGGAGCCTGCACGTGCTGTGGCACCACAGCAAAGCAGTTCCTTTCGGATGGACCCCAGAGAGGCAAGGGCAGCGCTCCATTGACTTTTGGACCCTGGAGAAACCATGTCCCAAATGTCCCACTCCCTTCTGTTAGGCACGGCCTAATCTAAGCCCATTTCTCTTTTTAAAAGTCTCTTTACAAGCATCCCTGGCCTATCTCTTGGCACACTTCTATTAGGGGCTGTTTAGACAGAACTTTGGCCTGCAGTAAATGTCTTCAGGTCAAAGGCTGCCCTACAGCCTTTTGCTGTTGTGGCTCTGACTGAGCAGTGAGTGACTCTGCTGTTCTGTGGCAGGCAGCAGCTGGAGGAGATTCGCCTGAAAAATGAAAAGCTGGAAGCTGCCACCAGGAAGAAGAAAACAGAGAGGATCCAGAATAGAAGCACAGCTTCTACAACCCACCTCACTCACAGAAGCACCAAGACATGGGATAGAAAGGTATCTCAATGTCAGCATTGTCCATGGGCTCTCCGAGGCAGTGACATGGCTCTGGGAGCCATGCTGGGCCATGGATGCTCCCATGGAGCAGAAATTCCAGGTTTGACTCCCTGTATGAAGTCCAGAAAATCGACAGCTTGTGGTGGGCAGGACTTGCAAGCACCAGTGTTGTCCTTTCCTGTTGTGGCTCCCACTAGGATCTCCATCCCACCCCAAGTCTGTGACTCTCCCCAGGGTTGGAGCAGCCCATGGCTTTGTCTCACCTGTGCGTTATCCCAGGTTCAGCTTTGCTGTAGCTCAGGTGTTTCTCTGCCGAGGTGCAGCACGTGCAGTATGACTCCATGCAGCCCCAGGACATTGTGGAACACGAGGAGAAGAGGAGAGTGAATGCTCTGCTGCAGCGTGAGAAGCTGATCCGAGACCTGGGCATCACCAACCAGCTCTCTCGGCTGCTCCCCACAGCTGACAGCCAGGGATCCTGCACCCTCCGGAGCCAGGTAACGGGGTCACCCAGATCCACCCACAGCCAAGGCAGGAGGATGGTGAGGAGTGAATAGGGCACTGAGTGTCTGGGGCAGGATGGGGGTCCCGGCTCCACTGCCGGCAGATCAGCTGCTGTGCTCCTGGGGTGATGCGAGTCTGGGATGGTTGTGGGGATGTACCTGGGGACAACGTGCAGGGGATGCTTTAGTGAACACCTGTACACAACTAGAAAAGACTTTTTCTCCCCATCTCCTGCCAAGGCCTCCAGAGCTAAGCCATGGCCACTTGCCTTCCCTCCTTCCAGCTGCAGTTTCCATGGGATGCCCTTGGGAACCAGGACCCCCATGACTTAATGATGGTCATCTCAGTCCTGGGAGGCCCAGCCCATGCCTCGGGACACTGGGTCAGAGCCGAAGCCCTGCAGCC